TTTCTGCCTCTCGCGGTTTCCTGGTGGGACAGTTAACAGAACTGTCTTCATCAGAGACAACGGTTTCACAGTAAAAGTGAAAAAAAAATCCGCCGTCACGTCTGGTCGTCAAACTGTTGTGTCAATGTCAAATTAAATCTGTCATCAAAGGGAGGGGAGGTGGGGGCGTTCTCAGTTGTGAAGGCCACCCGTTTGCACTTCCAGGGCACATCCCGCCGCTGGGAAAAGAACTATGGCAAAACACGGTTTCCCCCCCTCTACTCAGAATTTCCCACTCTGCTGCGAACTCACCTCTCACCCTACCTACATAGCAACTTCATGAACTTCCCCAGCTTACTAGCTTCCTACCACTTTTCCGGATTCCCCCCCCCCCTCTGAAACTCCCACGGTATGCCCATTAAAGACTGCTGTGAAGTGGGAGAGGGGCTCTCTTCCAACGACTAAAGTACGACCCCTCCTCGTGGGGATTTCCAGGGCACGAAGTATTTCACTACCATTTCATGGGAGCTTCGTATTCCACCCGGGACTCGAATAAAACGGAGAAATCATCGTACCGAAGCTTGGAGCTCGTCTGTGCGTCTTTCAATACTATCCAATCGTTCTCCACGTTCCATAATCGAAGCTACATTGGAAGCCATGACCTGAAAAACTGCTTCAGAAGCAGTTGGATAGGTTTAAGCAGAGCATATATCCTAATGACTAAAATCCGATAATTCAAGTCACTTACAGTTTTGACCTCATCCACTTGGCGACGCATCTCTTGGATTTTCTCATCCTGTGAGGGTTTCTGCGAGTTGTCCGCCATCTGCAACAGCGTCAACGTTTTGAACAAGCATCAAAGATTCGACGATAAACCAATGACGCCAAAAAGCACTACCACGGTTCAGAATATGATCAGTACACATTAACTACAGCATATTTGGACTTGAGTCAAGACACTAACAAGGGAATGACTTCAACTTCCCATGATTGGGACATATGTACATCGACAGAGTCTCGAATGCTGATTACGAATATGCAGATTAAAAGTGCTACGGGGACCTCCCAGACGAGTTCTGGGTGGTCAAAGTTTGCGAAAATTCAGTTTTGGCTCGTAAGTGGCGCTGATCGATCCAGGGCCAGTACCACTGTGGCCTAGTGATATGTATCTCGATTGGAAGACATCTCTCCCGGGGCTTGCTCCTCGTTGATGCGGAAATTTTTGCATTGACTCTAATAACAGCTTTTACACTGATTTTTGAAATTTCTACGAACTAACGACCCAGCGGAGTGAGTAGATCAAATATCTGGCTCGGGAGATCAAATGTAGAATTGTTCACTGTATATCCCTCAACGTCAAAAGGACGTCATATTCGCATTCAGGGGAGGTCAAATTACTCCCAGCAACAAGTTTCTGGTCAAATTAAAATTTTGGTCCAAACTTCGAATTTGTCGAAGAGGTTGTAAGCGTCGTGAGGGGTATACAGTGACCAATTCTATATTTGATCTTTTAAACTCTCAGATTAGACCCTACTTCACTCCGCTGGGTCCTTAAGTTCGATATTCATCCTACATTCGTAACTTCAAAAATTAGTCTCTGTAAAATGGCTCATTATTTCAGAGGGCTGAAGCAAAGCATTTCCGCACCGACGGGGAGAAATCCTGAGAAAAATGTCCTCCAATGCGAGACACCTACCACTAAGCTACCACTAAGCTAGCTAAGCTGGCCATGAATCGATCAGCGCCACTTACGAGCCAAACTGAATTTTCGCAAACTGACCACCCAGAACTCGTCTGGGAGGTCCCCGTAGCACTTTTAATCTGCATATTCGTAATCAGCATTCGAGGCTCTATCGATGTACCTAGGTCTCCATTCAAAGTTCCATGGGAAGTTCAAACCATTCCCTTGTAAGGCGTGCGCAAGGCAGCGTCCCGGCAGCGCTTTGGTCGCGCGTTCGACACGATCGATACGCATGCTTTCTGCTGCATCGATCGCGTCGAACGCGTGACCGAAGCGCTGCCGTCGCGAAGTCTGAACGCTGCCTAATGTTGTTTCGAGAAACAGCCTTTGCTCACTGGCGCTTCCTTTTCCACCATCTTACGAGGGCCCATCAATGAGAAGGGTACTTTTACTCGAGTGACTTCACCCTTACCATGAGCGGTTAGTGTGCTCTAAGGTAAATGATTAATAATATGGTTGTCATCAGAAATCCCTATCCTCGATTTTCTTTTCGAAACTCTTTTGACGATAGCTTGAATAACAAAAACGACTGCTGATTTCCGACGGTAA